ACTTTAATAATTTATTAGCTACAAGTAGTAAAAATCGGCCACACCCTTGAATAAGGATTACCATTTTCAACACAATGGTTTTTATTAATTGTAGTAGAGCCCTCTTCTACTGAAAGATGAGGACTATGCAGCTATTGTACTTCAAAATGTGCAAAATCAGGCGTGATAGTCTTTGTTTGCCATCCTCCTCCTTTCATCGCACAACAAAAATTTCACAGGAATCTGGAACAATATGTCATTCTTTGAAAAAGTGAATCCACGGGGAAATTGCAATTTTGGGTGATTATAAGACATGACAGCATGGAGGAGCAACTAGGTTCTAAAACCCAACTTATCCAACACCCACACAAGATCAGCTGTGGCAAATGCATAGCTTGATAATTTAGAAGTTCTCAAAGAATGGTATTGACTGCGTGATATTTAAAATACCGTTATCGCTACGTGACGATCAGTGGATGCAGTTCGTCGAGATAAGATGCTGTCTTGCTCAAAGACTGTGAGAAATATATTGAAAAAAACTTTAGGATTGCTAAGCTTTGAGCGGTTTACTAGCTATTATTATCTTAATCCTACCTCTAAAAGACGGCCTAAGGTTAACCTGAAGTTGTTTATGCCTAAAACCCAATAGGAGCGGACTTTTGCAACAATAGAGGTTATCCCAATGATAGTCATGCATATCATCCTATTCTCTGCTTCGTAAGTTGAAAATAACATGATCAAGGACAACAAACATTAGAAATGTCAGAAAAAATCATTATTTGGATACAGTTCACCGAATAGATCAATACTTATTGGATTGGTTTGCGTGTAAGTCATAACATCCAAATAGTATAATTGCCCAGAGGATTGATAAACGTAAGGTTATTGACTCAAAACGTTCACAAAAAAACTGTTAAAAACTACCATAGCATGCTGTGGCGTGAAAATAAAACATTTCTGTGAATATGTTGCCTCCAAACCCATGTTCGTTCTTTTACAATATAATTTTGTAATAAGGTAGAAATTACAAAACTTACTATGGGCAAATATTGTACCAAACAAGTGTGGTCACATCTGATCGTGAATGATTTTTTCATTCCCGAATTTCCTAAATCTAAATAGTCTTTTGAACTCTAGCATAATCTTAGATTTCGCTCGTAAATGATAATTACGGTGGTCTTAGGTGGCTTAGTGATGCTTAAGCGCTCAGCGCTATTTTTGCGAAATCTAACTTATCAAATATTGTTCATCTTGACATAAATTTAAGCTGTAATCCTACCGCGACGAAGAGACACGAGAACCGGCTATAGGTGAAAATCTGAATCTAAGCAAACTTTTCACAATAAATCACTAAGGCCTGGAGAAGGTTTGGGAACAACACGCATCAGCTTGTAAAGATCCAGCATTCTCTTTGACGATGTTTTCTTTAATGATTGCTTTCTGAGAGCAGGAGCCACAAATGTTTGTACAAGAAAAAATGTATGAAATATTATCAAAAGACACATATGACTTTACTATTACTTACCCGGCACTAAATTGTGCCGATATTACATTTTATCCTTTTCAATGAACATGATTTTTACAGATATAAATATGAACCTCATACAAGCAGTCGTTAAAGTTCTACCTTTCTACCTCACTTCTTAGTTCTCATTAAACACTGTCTTTTACTACTATAGGTCCCCCTGTTCTAGGAGTCATGGACGATAAGGCTTCTGTTAGTTGTATAATCATCAGCAGCTGAAATAACTCCCATGTGTTGTTTCGTTTGTTTGTTTGTGTTATTTTTTGTCATAATTCGTTTCCAGATTCTTTTTTTTTTTGAGGAATTGTGAAATTTTGCGTTTCTTACTCTTTTCACTTTCCACCTTAATTAATTATCGGCAACACCTCTAAGGTCTTCGCAGCTTTTCAGCACAATTTCCAAATCTTCGTCTATCAGAAGTATGGACGGGCACGTGAATAGTGGAAGTCGGATTTGTCGCCTGCACTGTTTAGA